CGCCAGCAACATCGAGCTTGTGCGCGTCGACGGCAAGCTCAAGTACAGGACCATCGTGTTTGCCAACGACGGCAGCAAGACTTCTATAGCGCGGCCGCGTGCCATCTGCCTGGACCCCACCGAAGGGTCAGTTATTTCGATATCATATAAAATGGTTAAAAGTAGAATAACACTGCTAGGTAGAGCTAAAGGTATAATAAGATCTGTAGCACGAACGAGCCACTCGCTCGGGGCTATACCACAACCACACCGAAGACTGGTGTTAAACCTACCATAGGTAGAGAAAATCCTGATTCTGTGGCTTCCCTCCTCTGTTAATTCGTATCTATGAGCAGCGGGCATTTCGCTATTTTGACAAATTACGTAAAACCCGGTACAGACGCTCACTTTTAAGTGTTTCAGCTCAGTTTTAACTAAATAATTCGACTCCCCAGTTAAAACTATCAGTAAGAACTGGGTGTAGGTAGCGGCATTTGGATTAATAAGCTTTGCTTGTGACATGATAAAAATTTGATGTTCATGGGCGTCGAATCAATCAATAAAAACCGAAACGCTACTCGTTTGCCTGCTTTCCAATATAAAAAAAAAGAGTTAATATTACAAAATTCCTAGCTAATAATTATTTATTTATTTTGTTATGATTGACTTTTTTTACAGAAAAATATACTGGTCAGATGAAGGAGGTTTCGGAGTTCCTGCAAAAATAGGAAAAGTAAACATGGACGGTACAAATGCGGCTATTTTAGTTGACGGAATCGAGCGACCCGAAGCAGTGGCCATTGACGTAGAAAAGAAAATACTGTACTTCAGCACGCAATTTCCCGCCAGCGTCAACAGCGTGAACACGGACGGCAACGACAGGAAAACGATCCTGACAGAGGCTAACGCCATCTCGTATCCGAAGGTGATCGCAGTGCTCGACTCGCGGCTCTATGTCTTAGATCCACGTCACGAGAAGATCATCAAGGCCGACCTGCCGAACGGTGATAACATCAAAGTTATACTCGACAACGAGAGCGATCTGAAGTCGCTCACGATTTTCCAGAAGAGAAAGATGATGCATCATCACCCGTGCACCCTGAACAACGGCGGCTGCGAGCAAATCTGTATTCCAAGTGACGGAGGCTCGCGGATCTGTTCCTGCTCCATAGGATACAAAAAAGAAAATGAGGTGAACTGTGTGCCCTACAAGACGTTCGCAGTGGTCTCTCAACTGGACCTCATCCGCGGCTTCAGCCTCGAGGGCAGCGCCGAGGCTATGGTGCCTGTCACCGGACAAGGCCACCATATCCTTCACGTTGACGTGCATTTCTCGGACAACTTCATTTACTGGGTGGAGTTCAACCGGGGCCAATGGAACGGAATATTCCGCATTCGTCCGAACGGCACGGAACTGGAACATGTTATCAAGGACGGCATTGGCAGCAACGGCATCAGGGGCTTGGCCGTCGACTGGGTCGCTGGCAACTTGTACTTCACGAACGTCTTTCCGCATGAAAATTACGTCGAAATGTGCTGGTTGGATGGATCTCATAGAAAAGTTCTCGTGAAAACGACAATGGACGCCCCGAGGGAGCTTGCCGTCAACCCGTTGAAAAGGCTTCTCTATTGGATAGATTATGGACAATATCCGAGAATAGGAAAAGCGTACTTGGACGGCAGCAACTGGCAGACGGTTGTCAGTTCTGGAATTTCAAATCCCCGAGACTTAACGATAGACATGATGACCCACGACGTCTACTGGGTCGACTCGAAGTTGGACCAGATTCAGAAGATATCGTACAACGGTGGCAACCGACAGCTAATCCGGTCCAACCTACCGAATCCTATGGGTATAGCGATACACACCGGCAGCGTATACTGGGTGGATAGAAACCTACAAACGATATACAAGGCGTCTAAATTACCCGGTAATATGTCGATGCCCGAAAAAATGAGAACTAATTTACCAAAGTTGCGGGACATTGTTATATTTGATGTTAACAACCAGCCCACGGACGACAACAACCCTTGCCGCAAGCTAGGCAACGGGGGCTGCGAGCAGTTGTGCTTCAGCTACCCTCCGGACGCTAATAAGGGCTACACGCATAGGTGCGACTGCGCCACCGGACAAATATCGAACACCAATCCGAAAAAATGCGACGTAGTCGATGAATACCTAGTCTTCACAACTAGGACTGAAATCCGAGCTGTGAATTTGGATCCCAAATCAACCGGAGTTCCATTCAAACCCATCGGCAATTTGACCAACGTCGTCGGTGTAGAATTTGACTACGTAGACAACAAGCTGTTCTTCACTCAAATAAGACCGTGGGCACGAATCGCATGGATGTCGTCCGTCAACCCTGAATCCTCAAAAATTCAAAATATCATAAGCAAAAACATTAATCCCGAAGGAATTTCATATGACTGGACCCAAAAGAAAATCTATTGGACTGACAGCTCGAATAACTCTATCTACGCTATGAACCTCGACGGCACCGAGCTGGTTATGATAGCGCGGGTGGAGCGCCCCAGGGCCATCGTGGTCGACCCCTGCAATGGCACCCTGTACTACACCGACTGGGGCCGATTCGGCACTTCCGGTAAGATTTACAGAACCACCATGGCCGGTTCCCTGAAAAAAGCCATTATAGATAAAGACTTGTCACAACCTAGCGGGTTGACTATCGATTTCGACGAAAACATGTTATACTGGACTGATGCAGTTAGGGAAAAAATCGAACGTTCCAAACTGGATGGATCCGATAGAGAAGTTCTCATATCCGCAACCATTTATCCTTTCGCCATCACGGTGTTTAGAAATTATATCTACTGGACCGACTTGCAATTACGTGGCGTGTATCGTGCAGAAAAGCACACCGGTGCCAATATGGTGGAAATGGTCAAACGTTTAGAAGATTCTCCGAGAGACATACACATCTACAGTACGAGTCGCCAGTCGTGCAAAGTGAATCCTTGCCTAATAAGTAACGGAGGATGCGCTCAAAGTTGTCATCCGGCTCCAAATAATTCCGTCGAATGCAAATGTGACGACAACACCAAATTGGTAAACGAGGGACGTATGTGCGTTACGAAGAACATCACATGTGACCCTAGCAAATTCTTCTGCGCCAACGGCAAGTGCATCAGCCGTATGTGGTCCTGTGACGGCGACGATGACTGCGGAGACGGCTCCGACGAAGACAAAAACTACTGCGCGTATCACTCCTGCTCGCCCAATGAATTCCGCTGCAACAATGGTCGGTGCATATTCAAGTCCTGGAAATGTGATCACGAAAACGATTGCAAGGACGGCTCCGACGAGGAAGGCTGCGTTTACCCGCCCTGCGCTGAAGGCGAATTCACCTGTCTCAACTCTCGCTGTATTCCGATGTCACAGGTCTGCAACGGCATCAACGATTGCAAGGACAACATAACTTCCGATGAAACTCATGAACGATGCCCGAGAAATACGACGTGTCCCACAAATCACCTAAAGTGCGAAAAGACTAATATTTGCGTCGAGCCCTATTGGTTGTGCGACGGAGACAATGACTGCGGCGACAACTCGGACGAGGACCCGCTGCACTGCGCCCAGAGAACCTGCCCGCAAAACAGTTTCCGATGCAACAACCACCGCTGCATCCCCGCCACGTGGTACTGCGACGGCGACGACGACTGCGGGGACGGCGTCGATGAGCCACCCGAGTACTGCCGCTCCGAGGGTCGAACCTGCTTCGGTGATCTATTCACCTGCGACAACGGGAACTGCATCCCCAGGATCTACATTTGTGATGGCGACAACGATTGCCTCGATGGCAGCGACGAGGACGACAGACACCAATGCAACGAAAGAAAGTGCGACCCGGAAACTGAATACACCTGCGAAGAAAACAAGTTCTGGAACCGCGCGCAGTGCATTCCTAAGAAATGGGTTTGCGACGGCGACCCGGATTGCATCGACGGCACGGACGAAAATTCAACCATTCACCATTGCTCGACCCCCACGCCTTGCTCGGACGATCAGTTCCAGTGTAACAACGGGAGATGCATAAATCGGGGCTGGGTGTGCGATCACGACAACGACTGCGGAGACGGTTCAGACGAAGGAAAACACTGCAACACACAGTACAAACAGTGTACGGATCAAGAGTTCAAGTGTCAGAATTTTAAATGTATCCGGAATCACTTCCGATGCGATGGCGAAGATGACTGTGGAGACCATTCGGATGAAGTCGGATGCGTGAAGGAAAACAAGACCTGCCCGGCAGGGCAATTCAAATGCAACAACGATCAGTGCATCGACAGCAGTCTTGTGTGCAACAAGGTGTCGGACTGCAGCGACGACTCCGACGAGCCCGCCCACTGCAACGTCGACGAGTGCGCGAAACTGGAAATCAACCAGTGCGGCCACAAGTGTGTCGACACATTGACGGGATACTACTGCGACTGTAACCAGGGCTACAAGCTGCTCGGGGACGGAAAGGCGTGCGCGGACATCGACGAATGCAACGAGAGCCCCGGCGTCTGCTCGCAGTATTGCTCCAACACGCCCGGTTCCTACTACTGTAAATGTAACGATCAGTACTATGAACGAGAAGCAGACGAGCGCACTTGCAAGAGAAAGGACAACACAACTGCATGGGTCATATTCACTAATAAGTACTACGTCAGAAACATGTCGACTGACGCGTCCAGGTATAACTTAGTGCACCAGGACCTTATGAACGTTGTAGCTATAGACTTTGATATTAAGGAACGGAAAATGTATTTCGCTGATGTTTCGGCCAAAACAATTTACAAATCCGATTACTCCGACCCCAACCCGACAAAGGAGGTTGTAATAAGACACGACTCTCATGGTTTAGAAGGCATAGCCATAGACTGGATAGGTAGAAAAATTTATTGGTTAGATCGACATTCGAAAAATCTAGACGTCGCCGAGCTAGATGGTACGAGGAGAAAAACGTTAAAGACCGGCATTGCCGATCCGCGAGCGATAGTGGTGCACCCCGGCATCGGCTATCTGTACTACACCTCGTGGCATCTTCAAGCCTACATCGGAAAAATCGGCATGGACGGTTCCAACTTCACAGCGATATTGAACTGGGAAGACGATATCGCCTGGCCCAATGCTTTGACAATAGACTACTTCACCGATAGAATATATTGGGCCGATGCTCATCTTGATTACATCGGCTCGGCCGATTTAGAAGGACGACATAGACACATCGTCCTATCCGGTACTAAAGTCCCTCACGTTTTCGCTCTCAGTTTATTCGATGACGAAATTTACTGGACCGATTGGAACCTCAAGGCTATAAGCAAAGCAAATAAACACTCCGGAGAAAACCTAACCGTGCTACGTAACACAACACATCGCCCGTATGACATTCATGTTGTCCATCCTTTGAGGCAACTCTCTTATACTAACCCTTGTGGCGCTGACAACGGAGGCTGCTCCCACCTCTGCCTTATCGCACCAAAGCACGAATCGAGCTACTTAAACATCGAAGGCTACGGCGAGGAAGGCACGACCACATACAAATGCGCCTGCCCGAATCAATTTTTCTTAGCTCGGGATATGAAAAGTTGCATAGCCAACTGCACCGACGGCCAGCACAGATGCAACGGACGCGACGAGAAATGTATACCGTGGTTCTGGAAGTGTGATGGCGAAAAAGATTGCATGGACGGCTCGGATGAACCGGATACCTGCCCAGTGAGGCACTGCAGAGCCGGCTCCTTCCAGTGCAAGAACACTAACTGCACGCCCGCGG